CTCTCCTTTCATTTTTGATACTGACAATTTGATTTTCCTCCCTTTTTTTCCAATTATTTTTGCCTTTTTTCCCCCAAAAAACTAGCTTCTAATTATATTATTTCAATGAATTTTTTGGTATTTAATTTTAATTCCTTTGATTTTCAAAGGCTCTATTTTAGGGTTTAGCTGGGGGGTTTTAAGTGCTGCTTTTCTAATTTCTAGTTGTATGGTCAATTAATTGGCACATTCATTCTCTTATTTCTAGATGAAAGCATTTAGAGATTTATATAGTTCCTTAAGGCTTATTTTGGATACATCCCTAAAGTTTTAATAAACCAACTCATTACTGTCATTTTCTTTCACAAAAATTATCCATTATGTCTATGATTTGTTCTTTGTTCTATCAATTCTTTGCAATTAAATTGTTTAGTCTCAATTTGTTTGGATTCTTTATTCAAGGGTCATTTAATTATAATTGTTATAACGGGGTCAGTAAAAGAGAAGTTTAACATTTCTGCTTTTCTACATTTGTTTATGAGGTTTTTATATATTTGTGCATGTCAGTTTTTGTAAAGATGCTGTGCAGAGCTGAGAAACAGGTATATTACTTTCTAATCCCATTTGGTGACTACCAGGGAGCTATCATATCTAACTTTTCTAAATTTTCCTAAAATTGATCAGGTACTTGATTTATCATTTTGTTATTTTTATCTAGGTCTAAATGGAGCAGTTTGAGTCACCCACAGCTATTACTGATTTACCATCTGTTTCTCCCTGTAATTCCATGAACTTTTCCTTCTAGTACATAAATACTCTGTCATTTGGTGCATATACATTAAATACTGATATTATTTTATTAACAATGTTGCTTTTAAATATAATTTTAAGTAGTTTTCCTGCTACTTTTTTTTTGGGGGGGGAATGCAAACCAGCTCTATTTTGTTTTAAAGGGAAGAAATCACTGCAGTGCCATCTGTCTGTTACAGAACAAGTTTCTGGGAACCCTGAACCGTTTCCTGATTATCTGCAAAATCAGAGAAGGTTCACAGAATAGAGAAGGGATGATGACCCCAAAGACCATTTCTCTCATTCCCTCATCTCAGAAAGGATGAAGCTGAAGCCCACACAACCCAAAACAGCAGGCAAGTTGCCTCATTCATAGATGCCAATGGATGTGATTTTCTGGGCTGAACTGGGGGTGAGGGGAATTTTGAGATGATTCCACAAGGTCAGTATTTACAGCTAGGTCACACAGTGGATACAGCACTGGGCCTAGAGTTGGGAAGACCTGAGTTCAAATCCCACCTCAGACATTTAGTAGTTGTATGACTCTGGGAAAGTCACTTTTTTCTATCCCAGTTTCTTCAGCTTTAAAATCAGGATAACAGGACTCAGGATTATAGTGAGAATCAAGGGAGGGATTTGTAAAGTATTTAGCACAATGCATAGATGCTTGTTTTCTTCCTTCCTCCAGATTTTTCTGAAAGATCGCTTTGACACTAGCCAAAGAGGAAGAGTGGGTGGTTGAAGCAATGAAGGCTCTATCCAAGAAGAGAAACCAGGTTCTGTGGGAATAGAATCTCTCTCTTCTCTCACTCTAAACCTCAGTTGCTTCTCTTTCTTTTCTTTTTTCTTTACTTTTTTTTTTGGCAAGGCAATTTAGGGTTAAGTGACTTGCCCAGAGTTACAGAGCTAGTGAGTATTTTGTGTCTGAAGCCAGATTTGAACTCAGGTTCCCCTGCCTCCAGGGCTGGTGCTCTATCCACTGTGCCACCTAGCTGCCCCGTTAGTCCCTTCTCATTGTTGACACAGCAGTTATGGAGATAGCAGCATGACTGTTCGTTGGTTGAGACTGAGCCGGAGGGCCAAGTTCTACACCATGCATCATGCTGGAACAAGCTGGGTAGGAGCTGAGGCCAAAGCTAAGTCCCTGTCCTGCTCCTGCAAGGTATCTGGGGAAGACTCCACGGTGGAAGTGAAGCTGGAGAAACAGGGGCTAGGCTTTGGACTTAGTCCCAGAGCTGGGTGAGCTAAGCAGCTCTGGGGAAATGGAGCCAAGGAGGCCCAGGCTCTCCACTGGGTTTCTGAGGTTCTTCAGAGACAGCTCCCAGCATCCCTGTCACATTGGCATCCTCCTGTCTTTTCCTTTTTCCACAAGTTTCCACGATCAAACATTTTCTTACAGTTCCACAGAACCCCACCCTGCTCCTCCTCCTAGTCACACCCCTCTAGAACTGAGCCGAGAGCGAGCTAGGAGTGATCAACTGCAGGGAGCATGGGGGCGATCACTGTCCCCTGGTCCAGGGGCACCCGGAGTCTGACCGAGTGAGGGCTCCCTGGTAATCACTTTTAACCACATCTACTTTTGTTATTGCCTTCTTGTCTGAAATGATGGTTCCTACCCTGGCTTTTAAAAATTTGCTGATTCTGCCCTAGCCCCTGATTCTAACTCTATGTTTCAAGTATTTTGGTATAACTCAAATATTACAGAATTGTTTGCAAAAACAGAAGAGAAAAGGATCCTACCATATTCCTCCTATGAGACAAATATGGTTCTAGCACCTAAACCAAAGAACAGAGAAAACTACAGAGCTGGTGCTCTATCCACTGAACCACCTAGCTGCCCCATGCAACATATTTTTAAAAAGACTATAAAACATGGCTAAGTCGCACTCATGATAGAAATGCAGAGTTCATTCAATATTAGGAAAACTAGAAACATAATATGTAACATTAATAACAAAAATTAAAATAATTAGTTATACCCACAAATGCAGAAAAGGCTGTGACAAAACATAACACCCAACTATTTTAACAATATTGAAAAGCACAGGAATAAGTAGGCCTTTCTTGAATATCCTGGTGCAAGGCAAGAGGCCATTCTTGTAGAATCAAGAGTGAAGGGTAAAATGTCTATTCTCACCACCGTTGTTTGACAGAAGTCAAGAGATGCACTATGTGGCAATGAGAAAATGAGAGAAGCACAGACTCAGGAGAAACAAATGGATTTCATATGGCAGATGAGATGATGGTTTAGCTGGAGAATCCCAGAGATTCAACTCAAAACTTAAATTAAAAAACTTTAGTCAAGTCCCAGGATATCACATAAACCCATAAAATCTTCAGTCTTACCACATCTGAACAACAAAGCCAGCAGGAAGTGGAGGAAAGAGAAATTCCATTCAAAATAATCACCGGATGTGCCAACTCTCTAGGGAGGAATCATATTTACAAAACAACTAAACGTTGTTTGTAGTTGGGCCCTGTCCATGGAATCACAAAGCTGAAGTGAGGCTGCCTAGTTTTTCTATTTGCTTACAAAGCAAATAGAAAAGTTGATTAGTCAATCAATTAGCATTGATGAAATGCCTACTGTATGCCAGACACCATGCTAAGCACTGAGGATACAAAAAGCATAAGAGTGGCCCTGCCCTCAAGGAGTTGACAGTCTAAGGATCAGAGAAACAGACTGTGTCCATAGACCACATAAACACCAAGTGGATTAATGACCAAGCTATCAAAGGTCATCTCACAAACAAATTAGAATGGAGGAAAAAAAAAAGACAGCTTTTACAACTCTGCATGGGGGAAGAACTCTAACCATCATGAGAACACATTAAAAACCAACTTTTTAGATTCTCTGGAAACATTACAAAATACTCTTTCTCCACAAGAACCCCTTAATTCCAGACTTTTCCCTTTAGGAAAGTGGGAAGGAAATTATAAGCATTTATTAAGTGCCTACTCTGGGCCAGATCCTAACTTACTCATAAAATGGAGGGGACATGGTAAACCTTAGCTTAAAAAGGCCAAGGTCCCCCTTGCATCCTGGGCCACCCAGATGACTCCAGAGGGGAAAGCGAGGCTGGTAGCTTTGCACAGTCCTCCGTCCCTTAAATCCAATTCACTTGCAGGTCATGGCATCACCTCCCTGATGTCACGGTCCTCTTAGAGAAGGAAGGACAAATCACCACCACCTCCCTGACTTGCTGTAAAAGACTGGGCTGATCTCCATGTCTGTGTTGCCAAAGGCCTGTAAGATCACTCTAGGCAGATGTTTCCCAGGCCACTCAGCCTTAAGGAGTCCGAAACAAAACTTTTCTTTTGCCCTGAATTCTCTCTCCATCTCCCTGTGTCTATGGACACAGAGCTCACAGAGCTCTGAGGGACCTCCACTCTTCCCTGTCCCTCCCCAAGTTTCCCATCTGAATATTTACCTTCTCTTGGGGAGTGTGGACCATCATCTCTTGCCTAGACCTGCGCTGGCCCCCTGCTTGGATCGATTTGCAACTATGCCCAAAGGGCTATCAAAATGTGCATACCCTTTGACCCAGCAATAGCACTTCTAGGGTTATATCCCAAAGAGATCATACAAATGGGAAAATGACCCACATGCACAAAAATATTTATAGCAGCTCTTTCTGTGGTGGCAAAGAATTGGAATTTGAGGGGATATCCATCAATTGGGGAATGGCTGAACAAGTTGGGGTATATGAATGTAATGAAGTACTATTCTGCTATAAGAAATGATGAACAGGCTGACTTCAGAAAAACCTGTAGAGACCTGTATGGTCTGATGCTGAGCGCAGAGCCAGGAGAACATTGCACACGATAACAACCACATTATATGATGACTCATATTGATAAACTTAACCCTTCTCAGCAATACAAGGATCTAAGACATCTCCAAAGGCCTCATGATGGAAAATGCTTTCCATAAAGAAGAACTATGGAGTTTGAATGCAGATCAAAGCAAACTATTTGCTATTTTTTTTTCTTCTGTTGTGTTTTGTTTTCTCTTTCTGGTGGTTCCTCCTATTGATTCTAATTCTTCCTTACAACACCACTAATGTGAAAATGTTTAATAGGAATGTATATGTATGGCCTATATCGATTGTGTGCCATCTTGGGAAGGGTGGTGAGGAGGGAAGGGGAGAAAAATTTTAAACTCAAAAGCAAATGGAAGTGATAGTTAATAAATCAAAATAAATTAATTAAAAAACAAAATTAAATTTAAAAAAAAAGCACCATTTCCATTTAACAAGAGGCCTCTCAGGCCCTACCATCTTGTTAGAAGAACTAACTTTTCCTTACTCAATTCACAATAGGCAAATTTGATGAAGGACATTGGTCTGACCTTGCGTCACCCACTCAGTAGCTAGGGTCCAATAACAGCTGAATGACTGCTTCTCAAAAGTAGTATAGAGAGGCCATTTTGGGGAACTCACAGCTCCATAAGCCTGTTGGTCATTTGGTTTGGCCACTCATAGATACCTGCCACAGACTCCATTCAGCTTGGCCTTTATGGAGATCTCTGAAAATATGGGGTCATAAAGGCTCAGTGAGGGAAGACTGTTGGATGGTTCACTTTAGTCTTTTCAAGAATGTATTCTGTTCTGGGCCCCAATAAAAAAGGGGGGGCTTACAGGTGTTTCAGTAAATGGGGGCTTAGGCAGGTAGTGTGGGTTTCCTAAAAACCTGAATTCAGTTAAGTGTTAGGGTTTCCCTTTCCAACTCTGGGAAGACAAATGGCAAAAGCTCATTTTGGAGTGTCTACATTAATGGGGTTCCCCTTATTCATGGTATTCCCCCAAATCTGGCAGCAGGCTAGATTCTGGATTGTCTAAGAGTTGATTTCCCACACCTTTCTCTCAAGTGGGGTATCATACAGTCCATGTCATTGGCAAGCTCAGTAAGCATGATGTCATCAATGTAGTGTTATACATCAATATCTTCACACAAAGTGAGGCCTTGCTCCACTTTTTGAAGACCAGACTATGGCAGTATGTAGTCCTAGGGGCAGATGATAAAAAGTATACTGAACTCCTTCCCAAGTGAAAGGAAAGGGCTTCTGATTACTCTCAGCTCTAGGAATAGGGAAAAAGACATTAGTGAGGTCAACAAACCCCCACCACTCAACCACTCCATGACACTAACTAGGTCAGAGATGGCCTCAATCATTGGTATGACAATTTTGTTTTGTTTCATTTAGTCCACTGTAAAATTCCAGGTGTTACCTGCATTTCTCATTGATCAAAGTGAATGTGAGTGGAGCAGGTATATTCAAATGCACTGGCCTCCTCTATCTCCATCCCTAGGGCAGAAATGGGATCCCATATCACTTAGTGTTGACTATTCAGAAAGGCTTGGATAATTCCAAGGGCGGTAAATAGTTCAGGGCTATTTCCACAATTTTCAACCAAACTCTACTTAGCTGAGAGTTGTTGACCCTCCCAAACACTGAAAAGAACACATACCTTATTCTGAGATGTGTAGACAGAGAGGCATTTGTGTCAAATCACTCCCCCCATTAATAACTTTAATTTATGCTTTTTATAATCTCCAGAATAACTTCCAAATATACCATCTACATAAAATCCTCTTTTGTAACAAAGAAAACAAATAAAACCTAAAAGCTTAAGTAATCACATCTGACAGTATATGCAACAGTTTATACCTCACCTCTCTAGTGAGAAGCTGGAGGTCCATTTCCTCTTTTCTTTGGGAACAAAGCAGGTTAATACAATTGATCTGCAGCACTTTAGAAATGGTTTAATCTTAATTGCTGTAATCATTCTGCTTCATGTTCTTCTCGTTCTCCTTTTTCCTGTATCAGTTCATACAATCTTTCCATGGCTCTCTAAATTTCTCATATTTATCATTTCTTGTTACACAGTAATATCCCAGCTCAAGTACACAGCAAAATTTGTGCAGTCATTCCGTAACTGACACATACATAATGTGTTTTTAGCTTTTTTGCTATCCATTGCATCCAAAAAGCTGCTACAAATGGACCTTTGGCATAAGTGGTATAGTGGATAGAGTGCTGGGCCTGGAGTCAGGAAGACCTAAGTTCAAATCTGGTCTCAGATACTTAATAACTGTGTGGCCCTGAGCTAGTCACATAACTGTTTGCCTTCTTTCCTCATCTGTAAAATGAGATAGAGAAGGAAATGGCAAACCACTACAGTATCTTTGCCAAGAAAACCCCAAATGGGGTCATGAAGAGTCAGACACAATTAAAATGACTGAACAAGAACATAAGACTTTTCCCTAGTGATCTTGGCACATGCCTAGTGTTTGGATAACTGAGTCAAAAGGTTTGAACAGCTAAGAAATTGTTGGTATTTTGATGAGTATTCTATGAAATTTGTCAGAAAAAAACATGAATACTGAATTCCATCCAATTATTTGGCTTTTTAATTCACTTCTCAGAATTTTGTGGTTGTCCATATTAAGGTCTTACAAAATCTTGGCTTAATTTCCAAATATGGGATGACATTTGTTACTCTGATGTCGAGTAAGTGATCCTCTCAGGCTGAAGGCCTTCCCACATTCATTACATTCATAAGGTTTCTCTCCAGTATGAATTGTCTGATGTCTAGTAAGGTGTTCTCTCCGGCTGAAGGCCTTTCCACATTCAGTACATTTATGAGGCTTCTCTCCAGTGTGAATTCTATGATGCTGAGTAAGGTGTTCTTTCAGACGAAAAATCTTCCCACAGTCATTACATTCATAAGGTTTCTCTCCAGTGTGAATTCTCTGATGTCCAGTAAGATGTCCTCTCTGGCTGAAGAACTTCCCGCATTCATTACATTTATAAGGTGTCTCTCCAGTATGAATACTCTGATGGAGAGTGAGTAGTTCTCTTGCATGGAAGGCCTTTCCACATTGACTACATTCATAAGGTTTCTCTCCAGTATGAATTCTCTGATGTACAGTAAGATGTCCTCTCTGGCTAAAAGCCTTCCCACATTCATTACATTTATGTGGTTTCTCACCAGTATGAATACTCCAGTGGAGAGTAAGGAGTTCTTTTAAGTGGAAGGCCTTCCCACATTGATTACATTCATAAGGTTTCTCTCCAGTATGAATCCTCTGATGTCGAGTAAGGTGTTCCCTGAGGCGGAAGGCTTTTCCACAGTCATTACATTCATAAGGTTTCTCTCCAGTATGAATCCTCTGATGTCGAGTAAGGTATTCTCTCAGGTGGAAAGCCTTTCCACATTCATTACACTCATAAGGCTTCTCTCCAGTATGAATCCTCTGATGTCTGGTAAGCTCTGTGCTCACATGAAAGGCTTTCCCACATTTATTACATTCATAAGGTTTCTCTCCAGTATGAATTCTCTGATGTCGAGTAAGCTCTGTACTCAAGTGGAAAGCTTTCCCACATTCACTGCATTCGTAAGGTTTCTCTCCAGTATGAATACTCTGATGTCGAGTAAATGATCCTCTCAGGCTAAAGACCTTCCCACATTCATTACACTCATAAGGCTTCTCTCCAGTATGAATAGTTTGATGTCGAGTAAATGATTCTCTCAGGCTAAAGGCCTTACCACATTCATTACATTTGTAAGGTTTCTCTCCAGTATGTATAATCTGATGTCGAGTAAGAAGCCCTCTCCGTCTGAAAAACTTCCCACATTCATTGCATTCGTAAGGTTTCTCTCCAGTATGAATTCTCTGATGTCGAGTGAGGTGTTCTTTCAGACGAAAGAGCTTCCCACAATCATTACATTTATAAGGTTTTTCTCCAGTGTGAATTCTCTGATGTAGATTAAGATGGCCTCTCTGGCTGAAGGCTTTTCCACATTCGTCACATTTATGAGGTTTTTCTCCAGTATGAATACTCTGATGGAGAGTAAGGAGCTCTCTCAGGTGGAATGCTTTCCCACATTCATTGCATTCATAAGGTTTCTCTCCAGTATGAATCCGCTGATGTCGAGTAAGGTGTTCTCTCAGGCGGAAAGCCTTCCCACACTCATTACACTCAAAAGGTTTCTCTCCAGTATGAATTTTCTGATGCTGAGTAAGCTGCCCTTTCCGGTGGAAAGCCTTCCCACACTGATTACATTCATAAAGCTTCTCTCCAGTATAAACTTGCCGGTGATGAGGAAGCTGTGAACTCTGAAGGAAGGACTTCAAACAATGATTAGGTTTTTTCTCAGTGTGAATCCTCTGGTGGGAAGTAAGGGATGAACCACGGTTGAAAGCCTCCCCATATTCACTATATTCCAGTGTCTTTCCAGTGTGGATTCTCTGATGTTCAATTAGTTGTACAGTTTTGATAGAAGCCTTCTCAAATTTATTACATTTAGGGACTTCCTCATCAATGTCAATATTCTGATGGGAATTAATATACGGGCTGAAGCTGACAGTTTTCCTGTCTTCATTACAATCATCAGGTTTCTCTCTAGGATAAAGTCTATGGCATACAATAAAGTCTGACGGAGAAGTGAAGGGTTCCTCACATTTATTACACCTAGGATCTATCTCCTTAGAGCAAATTCTATGGCACTTCCTAGGTTCTGAAGACAGAATGAAGTTCTTTCTGGCTGTATCCCATCTGAGAAGGTCCTTTCCTACAAATACTCTCTGTCGTACAAAAAGCTCTGGTACCAGACTGATGCTTTGGCCATCACTGGGTGTTTCCCTCTGGGTGACTTTTGCTTGCTGAGAAGTTTTCTCCTCAATGCTCTGTTGCCTCCCTGACATTACATCACAGGCCAAGGCTTCTTTCAAGCTGGAGGCAGAGAAACCATCTTTTGTGAGTCTGTCTTCTGATGAATTCTCCACAGAAATGCCCAGTTTGGGATGGGACTTCTTGGTTTCACACCTAGTCTCCCAATCTGGGGAAAAAAAAAGAAAGAAAAGAAAAAAGGAAAGAAAATGGAAACATCCTCTATACCCACCTGCTATACTCTTTAGTCCTATTTTGTGCTTCTTCCAAAAACAATTATTGTTAGACATTAAACAAAACAAGTAATACCTTGTTTATATACTCATTGATAGTTTATTTTTAAAAATGAAGCTTTCCTATTGATCCTCATAAGGTTTTTTTTTTTTTGGCTAGGCAATGGGGTTAAGTGACTTGCCCAGGGTCACACAGCTAGTAAGTGTTATGTGTCTGAGGCCGGATTTGAACTCAGGTCCTCCTGAAACCAGGGCCAGTGCTCTATCCACTGTACCACCTAGCTGCCCCCAGAGCCTCATAAGTTTTTGAGAGAGCGAGAAAAGCAGAGAAGACATTTATTACAGTTTCTCATAGAAAACTGAGGCCTGGAGAAACATTTTGAGTTTCCAGCTGTCACATGACTAACTAGCAGAAAAACAAGAGCATAGATCATCCTTATGGTCTCTTTGCCACACTGTGCTCCAGACAATGGAGCAAAGCTCAAAGTGCTTGGAAATAATTAAGCATTAGCTAGATGACTATCAGTCAGGGGTGTCTAGGGAAGATTCCTGCATTAATAAGAGGCCAAAGGGACTGCCCCTCAGTTTCACTGACAATCTTGGATTTGGATCCTAAGTCTTCTTTCTGCTTAGGATGATGAAAGTAAGAATACTGGGTCTAGTTAATCCAGTTTCTTTTCAACGTATTAGGGAGTGTAATAGGGAACTCAGCACGTGACTTGTAAAGGCATAACTGCAGGCTACCGGTGAGTTTTACTGGAGACCCAGATCAGATTTTAATTTAGATCTGAATAATATATCGCCAGGATGAAGACTGGGGTGACGGACATAGCTTTAAGGTCAGCATGACGAGGACTGTTGCTCCTTCAACTGCTTCCCCCTTCCCTCTTCAACCGTCTTCTATTTAACAACCTTGCACATATTTTACATTTATTCTGTATTTCTGTGCACATATTGATGCTCATGTATGTGTTCTTCCCCACGAAAATGTCAGATCCTGGTGAGAAAGGATGATGTCATTTTTAGAGTTTGTATCCCCAGCACTGAGCCCAGAGCCTCACTCATAGCAGGCACTTAATAAATGACTGCAGGAGTAATTAGCTCTGCTTTCAGGGTGGCTATACAACTCTTGCCTGTTTGTTTCTCCATATGAATTTCCTTAGAGTTGTGTTTAATTCCATTAATAAACTCCTTGGTATTTTCATTGGGATAGCTTTCTAGGCTGTTTTGTAGCAACCGTGTTGTTCTGTTATTGTTTGTCCTTCATTTTGGAGAGATCATTGTGAGGGGACGTCCTGACTTGCACGTAAATTAGATTAAAGCGAGGCAGAGTTGCATAAAATCGTCAGCCTCACCCTGTCTTTCAGAGTCATTAAAGTCCAGTAGCAAGACCAGAGTCAGGGTGACTGGTGACGGCCCAGGACACAAGGGACGACCCTGGGGACTTCCATGTCTGGCCAAGCTCTAAGCGCTCCACATCACTGGTTTCAGCCACCTTCGTGGCCGCTGGAAGAAACTGTTCACATACACCCGGCGTAGATACCACCCTAACTCACCGATAGGTTTCCTGGCAGTTACCCTCAACCTGGTTTAACCTGTCTGCCAAGATGCTTTACCAGGGTGTAGCTGCTGCGCATACTATAGCTTCTTGGAGCCATAATGAGAGTTGGAGAACATGCAGAAACCAAAAGTAGATGAGCAGCCCTGTAAATCAACATTCAAGTACTGTCCTCTTTATTCTAAGGAGATGCCCATGAACGCTGAATGCCCTCTCATCATTTCACCTGGACATGGCTTTACTTATCGCTTACAGCATTGTGTAGATGTCTTGCACCAATCTGATGGACTCCTACCTAAGTCAGCTCCCACACAGAGGCTGGTGTTGCTTATTATTCCCAACAGAGTTCTCTTTCTGGGGACACCTTCTTGATCTTCATGATGAGTAAATCATAGTGGTGATTATGACTTTGTGTCCTGTTCCTTGATGCCCTAATTGACAGTCTCCACTAATTTTCTGAGCTGAAAAGAAGAGGCTTTCGCCACATTACTGGGTCATCTCCATGTCATTTGGCCTATCTCTTGCCAGTGGTAAACCAGCCACCAAATGTGCTCTTTCTTTTCCTATAGAGGCATTCAGAGATATCAGTCTGCAACTAAGACCTGCTTTGGTTTCCTCCCACTAGGGTCAGAAATGTGCTACTATTGCGGTTAGCTTTTCAATAGGTAGCTCTATCTTGCTGGCCAATTATTTAACTCCAAAAGTTTAATAACTTCTATTTCTATGAAGTTTTATGCTTTTATTCATGTGATTTCATCTTAATTTTATTTCACTAGGGTATGAATAGGCAAGATATTTGTTATGATTTTGTCAAAGTTCATACACATAAAAAAAGAGAGAAATTAAAACAGGAGGAGGGCTGCTGAGGATATCACACCACAGAAAGGAGGGACAGATATGGGATACGTTCTGACTTGGCTTTGGGGTTGGTGGCCATGACAGGGGTTTAGATGCTGGCCCTGCCTCTGGCTGCCTGGGTGACCTTGGCCAAGTCACTACACTCTCTGGGCCTCAGTTTCTTCACCTGTAACATGAAGGGGTCAGAACAGGTAGCCCCTGAGCGACCTGCCAGCTCTACATCTGGGATGCCAAGAGCCTTCTCTGAGACTGGGAACTGTCAGGAGACTGACTTGCTGAGGTAACAGGGAACAGCCTTCCTTTGGCTGACACACAGTGGGGGCTTTTCCTCTGAGGCCTGGGCAGCTCTGAGCAGAGGCTCCTGTCCAACTCTATGGAAGGGGTTGCACTGACTGACCAGTGAAGACACCGTTGCCAAGCACTCCCCGCCCTGGGGGTCAGTCACTCACTCACCTGGACAGCTGCTCCCTGGGATTCTCCTCTCTGGTATCCAAGGAGCCTCCCTTCGCTCCAGCTGGCGTATCACCTGGGGCTTAGACATGGCGAGTCCTGCTCAAAGGAAGTGGGAGACTTGGGGTAAAGACACAGCTGTGGGAGGTTCCAACCAAGCTTCGCTGCCCTAAGCTTCACCCCAGCAAAGATGAAATGAATACCAGACGATGTAGAGATTCAAGAAAAACCAAAGAGAAAGCTTCCATCCAGGGAGATGGCTGGAGCTCGTGGATGCTCTGCTCAGAGATAAATCAGGGAATCTGACACTAGCCTGACTCTGGCTGTGCGTGGGCCCTGGACCTGGACACGCCATCCAAGAAAGCCACACAGGGCAGAGCCTGGCTTGGGCAGAAGGCCTCAGTCCAGGGGCTGAAATCATGAGTAACTAAAAAAAAAGTCACACACAACCCAAAGGGAAAACCCAAGTGATCAGAATCCACAGTCAGTCCCAGCAGAGGCACAAGGACTCCATGAGTGTAGAAATGAAGCCAAAGAGAAAGGGCTGCTCTGTGCTCCCTGTCCTGCCCTTCCACTAACTCCCACTCCCTCCTGATGATGGGGCATCCTCGGTGTGAGGGGAGCAGCACATCCTTCCCTGGCTTCCTGCTCTCATGCAAGGGGTCCCAAGCACAGGTGAACAGTGTGTGCCAACATCAAATCTGAACCAAGAGGGCACATTTAGGGTCAGAGTGCCCACAACACCTGGACCCTTCCCAGCCTGAGTCTGAGCGCTATCCTGACTGTGCCCCCTAGGACTCTCACCCAGACCCCCAGAAATAATTGATATTTTCTTAATTGTAAGATGTCAACAACATTTTATGAGACACACACTTGAAGCAGAAAAATACGCACAGAATTAAAACCTAGGAATGGACCAGAAATCTATCATACTTCTGCTAAACTATAAGAGGCAGGAGTCACAATCATGAATGAATGACTCCCTCGGACCAAAGAGGAAGAGGACTCCCCACTCTCTGAAGGCCAAACAGTCCCCTCTAACCCTTTTCCCAAGGAAGGACCCAAGGACCCCTCTGGAGACTGGGAAGGGGAGGCAGAGCCTGGGTCCCATGGGGAAGCCAAGCTCACCCAAGCACAGCAGGTTCCGGTAGGTCTCCAGCATCACGTCTCGGTACAGCTCCTTTTGGGAAGGGTCCAGGTAAGCCCACTGCTCCCTTGTGAAGACCACCACCACATCTTGGAAGGTCACTGGCTCCTGAAACACCAAAGGCCTTTGTTTGTGCTTGTCCAAGGAACAGCCCTCAGATGGACCTGGGAGTAAAGGGCCTAGACAGTGGGGGAGGATTGTGTAGTTCTCAGGCATCTAGCCTCACTATAATACAAGCCAAATATTTATCAATGCTTTAGTTTGTAACAGCTTCTGAAGCACGTGAAAAAAGAATAATCACTGGGAGAGAAACAGTAGAGCAGTAGAAGAAGGTTGGATTTGAAGTTAGAGGTCCTGGGTTCAAATTCTGGCTATCCTACTTTCTGCCTGGGTGAGCTTGGACAGATCACCTAATCTCCCTGGGCCTCAGTTTCCTCACCTAAAAGATGAGGGGGTTAATCACCATTCCAGCTCAAGAACTAGGATCTAACATCGAGTGATTCTCACATTTCTATTTTTTGCTTTTTCAGAAAGGAGGTCATCATTCAAAGACCCAGAGGATCCAGACCACCCCCCGGCTCCAAAAAAAAAAAAAATAAGACTCCATCAGGGCTTAGAGATGTGTCACTCTCCTAGCTAGGCCATAGAAAGAATAACCTCTAGATGCCTCTATCCAGCCCAGGCATCCACAGAAGGTCCCCTGAATTCCTTTCAGTGACTGTGGGAGAGGTGAGCTGCTGGGCCAGGTGGAGAGCTAATCCCAGGGCTCCTGGTCTCAGGGAACATCCAGTGTAATGCTCTAAAACAAAGAGCCTGAGGTCAACTCAGAACCAACAGGGCCCCAACCCAGCTGAGCATAGGGCCTCAGTCTCAGGACTTCTAGGGAAAACTCCAAGGGGCACCAAAGGGAGAAAGGCTCCAGGCAAAATCCAGCCTAGTCATTCTCAAAAGCAAGTGGCCAGAGCCCTGTCCAAGAATACTCCAAGCCCAGCAGCAGGGATGAAGGACCCCATGGGAAACTTACAGCAGGGAGAGGTCTCAGCAGAGGAGGGAGTCCCCAGGAAGAGTCCTAAAGTCTCTTGAAGGAAGGACCTAGTCTGGCCCATTCTACTCAGGATACAGCAGACCCTGGCCTATAGGTACATAAGCTGACCCAAGTGCAGTCTCATTTTTCCATGACCAAACCAAGGAAAACACCAACCACCACGAGGAGATACCTTGACTGGAGAAAAAATTAGGGACAAAACAGAAAGAGGATAGTGATCTCTCGGCAAGACTGGGGAAAGCCTTATAAAAAATGCTTTGCATTTTTTTTTAAGACACTGCAGGAATATTTGAAGAAATGAATCAAGAGATACAGAAGCTACAAAGGAAAGAATAGGAAGGAAAACTGATGTCTTAGAACAGATGGTAGAAAACCTCACACAAGAACTGAACGCTCTGAAAATTAGAATGGGCTAGACATGACAATGACTGAGCAACACAATGAGAGAAAGAAAGAAAGAAAGAAAGAAAGAAAGAAAGAAAAAGAAAGAAGAAAGAAAGAAAGAAAGAAAGAAAGAAAGAAAGAAAGAAAGAAAGAAAGAAAGAAAGAAAGAAAGAAAGAAAGAAAGAAAGAAAGAAAAGACAGAAAGACAGAAAGAAAACACCACAGGAAGTGACCTGGGCTCCTAGACTAGGCCATTGGAATACTGTTGTTTGTCCTTTGTTCTCAAAGAGGACCATGAGGCCATTCTTTGCCTCATTTCCTACCTAGCTTCAATATGAATATTATGAGAAAAAGAAAATATCAGACTTTTTTGTGACTGTTTTGCCATTTTTCAGTCATGTCTGACTCTGTGACCCCATGTGGGGTTTTCTTTCCTTTTTTTTTTTTTTTAAGGCAATTGGGGTTAAGTGACTTGCCCAAGGTCACACAGCTAGTGTCAAGTGTTTGCTCTTAGGCCAGATTTGAACTCATGTCTTCCTGACTTCAGGGCTGGTGCTCTATCCACTGAACCACCTAGCTGCCCCATTTGGGGTTTTCTTGGCAGAGATATTGGAGTGGTTTGCCATTTCCTTCTCCAGTGCATTTTACAGATGAAGCAACTGAGGCAAACAGCATGAAGTGACCTGCCCAGGGTCACACAGCTAATATGTGCCTGAGGCCAGATTTGAACTCAGTTCCTCCTGACTCCAGGGCAAGTGTTCTATCCACTGTGCAACTTAGCTTTTTAAAAAATTTTAACAAAACTGCCCAGAACTCAGGAAGAGAGCAAAGTGAAAATAGAAAGAATCCAACAGTCACCTCTAGAAAGAAACTCCAAAATGAAAACTCCCAGGAACATAAGCCAAAATCAAGGGCATCTAGGTTAAAGAAAAAAATGTTCCAAGCAGCCAAATCAAGGTCTCACAATAAGGATTACACAAGACTTAGCAGTCACAACTGTAAAGAAAGGAGAACTCAGAATATTGTAACAGGTAAGGGATAAAGGTTTAAGATTGACCTATCCAGCAAACCTACAGGGGGAAAATGGACTTTTAACAGAAGAGAGGATTTCCAAGTGTTTCTGATGAAAAAACTAGAACTGAATAGAGATTTGGAAATGGAAATGCAGACACCATGAGAAACATCAAAAAGTTCACATATTTGTATACCTGAAAGGGAATATGTGAGAATAAAAATGGACAAATATCCTCTCAGAATCTTAATATATTTAAAAATTATAGAGAAAAGGTAAAACAAGAGAGCATCTATGCATGGTTTTGTTGTTTTAATTATTTTAGAAGGCAAAAATAAAATAGATGCGGGATTATAATGGTGAAAAAAGGAGGAAGTAGAAGAAAATTACCACTGCATAATAGAGGTACATGAAATGAAGAGTATAGTCACAGAAGAAGGGGTGGGGGGATGAGAATTCTATGAATCATATTTTCATCTGAATAGGATAAAGGAAAATTGAGTAAAATCACAGTCAATTCCACAACGAATATTTATTAAGCACCTACATTATGCTAAGTGCAGCAGATACAAAAAGAAGCAAAAAATAGTTCCTGCCCTCAAAGAGCTCACAATCTAAATGAGGAGACCACAAGCAAAACTGTACAAACAAGATAGATAAAAGATAAATAGGAAATAATGAGATGGAATAACAAAGAGGGGCTGGGTAAGGCTTCCTATGGAAGCCAGGGAGGTCAGCATGTGAAGATGAGGAGGGAGAGCACTCCAAGCATGAGGGATGGCCAGTGAGAAACCCCAGAACCAAGAAATGGAGGGTCTTGTTTATGGAACAGCTAGGAAGTTAGGGCCGTTGGATCAAAGAGTACATGTTAGGAAGTAAGGTTTAAGAAGACTGGAAAGGCTAAGATACGGAGGGCTTTGAAGGCTAGAGAGCAGTCTGTATTTGCTCCTAAGTCAAAGGCGACATGTCTGGACCTGTACTTTAGGAAAGTCACTCTGGTGGGTGAATAGAAGATGAGGCAGGCCAAGTGACCACCAGGCTATTACAATGGCCCAGGTATGAGATCACGAGGGCCTGTACTGGGGGGTGGCAGGGTCAGAGGAGAGAAGGGGGGTGCATTAAGATGTTGCAAAGGAGAAATCAATAGCTTGGATATGGAGTCGGGGAGAGGGGTGGAGAGAGAGGAATCCAGGGTGACTCCTGGGTTGTGAGCCTGAGTGACTGAGGGGAGAGCGCTCTCCCTCCTCATCTACATCAATAAGGAAGGTAGGAAGGGTTTGGGGAAAGAAATGATTTGTTTTGAATATGCTGAGTTTAAAATGTCCACTGGACATCCAGTTTGAGATGTCTGCAAGGCCAGTTGGCGATGCAATATTGGAAGTCAGTAGAGACTGGGGGAGGAGAAGATGATTTGAGAATCATCAGCTTAGAGATGTCAATTAAATCCATGAGAGCTGATGACATCACTGAGTGAAATAGGACAGGGGGAGAAGAGGGCCCAGGACAGAACCTGAGAGACATCCATGCTTTGAGAGTTCTGGAGGAGGATCTAGGAAAGAAGACTGAGAAGGAAAGGGGTCCTGAAAGTCTAGAGAGGAGATTTTGAATATCAAGGAGAAAAAGGTGAACATTGACCAAAGCCTGTGGAGAGGTCAAGGAGGAATTAGGATAGAAAAATGACCATTGGATTTGGCTCAAAGAGATCACTGGCCACTGTGGAGAAAGCAGTTCTGGTAGAATGATGAGGTCAAAAGTCAGGTTGTAAGGGATTAAGAGAGTGAGAAGAGAGAAAGTGGAAGTACCAATTACAAATGGCCTTTTTGAGGAGTTCAGCCAAAAAAAAAATTAGGGCAATAGTTAGAAGGGAGGGACCAAACGAGGGTTTATTCATAATGGTGAGGCATGAGCATGTTTGTGGGCAGTAGAAATGAGCCAGTAAACTGGGAAAGACTGAAAATGAGAGACAGACTGGGGATGACAGAGGGCTAATCTGTTGGAGGAGACAGGATGGAATGGGATCACTTGAGCAGGTAGAGGGGTCGAGAGTAAGGACACCTCATCGAGTGAGACAGGGATGAAGTAGGAGAGAGTGGCAAAAGGCATCTGGGTAACAGGTGAGGAGGGAAAGAGGAAGCTCATGGCAAATGGCCTCAATTTTTCTGTAAAATAGGAGGCAAAGATCTTGGCTGAGAGTGAGGGGTGGGGCATGGCAGGTTTGAGGAGGGATGAGAAGGCTTGGAAGAGCTGCTGTGGAGAACAGGAGAGTGCAATGAAAAGAAATGCAGCGGAAGGTGGCCTAGCAATTCCAGATCTTAAATTGTATTATAAAGCAGCAATCATCAAACTGCTTGGTACTGGCTAAGAAAGAGTGGTGGATCAGTGGAATAGGTTAAATATGCAAGACACAGTAGTCACTAACTATAGTAATCTATTATTTGATAAACCTGAAGACCCCAGCTTCTTATAAGAACCCACTCTGAAAAAAACTGCTGGGAAAACTGAAAGAATATGGCAGAAACTAGGCATAGACCCAAATCTCACACCACATACCAAAATAAAGTCAAAATGGGTTCATGACTTAGATATAAAGGCTGATACTATAAGCAAACTGGGAGAACAAGGAATAGTTTACCTGTCAGATCTATGGAGAACAGAAGAATTCATGACCAAACAGGAGACAGAGAACATTATGGCGTACAATCTGATACAGGCTATACATTTACATTCCTATTAAACATATTTTCACATTAGTGAAGTTGTGTGTGGCTGAGGTGGCTGGAGGAGTAGCTCATAAAAGGTGAGTAGATTGAAGAACTTAGAGGTTATGGTGTTTGACGGAGAGTTAATACATATGTTGAAGTCCCCTACCATGAGGACAGTACTGAACTTATCTAAGGAGGCAGAGAAGTAACCAGCTCTGCAGAAAACAGCTACAAGGATTTTCATTGGATGGTAAAGATGACTAGCAAAGATTACTGAGTGATGGAGGTAGGGAGAGAACCTGCAAGCGATATTGGGGAGAGGAGGAACATCCCAACTTCTCTGCCTCATCCAGCGAGTCAAAGAGAATGAGGTGCAGCCAATAAAACAGCAAAATTCACTGAGCAGAGCTAGAAAGAGAAAGTCTATTCAAAACAACTACAGAGGGTTTAAAACACTAGGGCAAGGAGGCAGCTAGGTGGTGCAGTGGATAGAGCACTGGCCCTGCAGTCAGGAGGATCTGAGTTCCAATCTGGCCTCAGACACTTCCTAACTAGCTGTGTGACCTTGGGCAAGTCACTTAACCCTCACTGCCTAAAAACAAAAACAAACAAAAACCACTAGGGTACACATTCTCCAAGATTAAGGAATATAACTATTAAACACTTTGCAGAAACAGACCCAAATCAGTGAATAAACGTTAATTGTTCATGGGTAGGTCAAGCCAATATAATTTAAATGATAACTGTACCAAACTCCCAAAAGAATATTTTATAGAGCTAGAAAAAATAACAAAATTCCTATCAAGGAACAAAAGGTCAAGAATCTTAAGAGAAATAATGAAGAAAAAAAAAAGTGGGAAGGAAAGACTGTTAATCAGTACCCAATCTTAAATTATACTGCAAAGCAAAAATCATGAAAATGATTTGATACTTGTTTTAAGAAAGAGAGAAGAGAAAGAGGGAGAAGGAGAGGGAAGAAGGGAGGGAGGGAAGGAGGGAGGAAGGGAGAAAGAAAGAAAGGGAGAGAGAAAGAAAGAAAGATCAATTAGTGGAACCAATCAGACATACAACATGCAGGGGAAAATAAACACAGTAGAATAGTAGCTGATAAACCTAAATTTCTAATTACTGGGGAAAATTTTTAAAAAACTGCTGAGAAAACAATATAGTAGTCTGACAAAAATTAGGTTTAGCCCAAGACCTCACACCATACAACAAGATAAACTCTAAACAGATACATGACCTAGTCACATTATAAACAAATTGGAAGAGCAATGAAGAAATTACTTTTTGGATCTATGGATAGGGGAAGAGTTTATAACTAAATAAGTGATAAAGAAGATCACACAAGATTAAACTGAAAATTCTAATTTACAGAATTTAATTTTTTTTTTGCCCAACAAATCTAATACAGTGAAAATTAAAAAGGAAACAGGTAACTAGGGAAAAAAAATCTTTGCAACATGTTTTTCTGTTACAGGTCTCATTTTTAAGATTACATATGAGGATTTATTCAAATGTATTAAGAGCCATTTCTCAATAGATAAAAGGTTAGAGGATATGAAAAAGCAGTTTTTAAAGAAAGAAATTCAAACTACCAATAATGGTGAAAAAAGAGCTGTAACTCATTAATTATTAGGGAAATACAGGTTAAAATAACTTTGAAGTTGCTCCTCACACCTATCAAATTGCAAAGAGGACAAAAAAAGAAACTGACAAAGGATGGAGGAGCTGTGGGGGTGGACTGTTGGTAGAGCTGTCCAGAGTGGTCCAGCCAAATCTGGACAGCACCTGTGAATGATGCCCCAAAGGTACTAAGCCGGGCACGGTCTTTGCCCTGGCTGTACTGCTCCTGAGCCCTGTCACAAAGAAATCAAGAAGGGAAAAAGAACCCCCACGTGCAAAAGTATTTAAAGAAGCTCTTTGTGTGATGGTCAAAACTTGGAAACCAAGGGGGTGCCATCTCTTGGGGGAATGAATGGGTGAACAAATTGCTACCTATGAATGTAACAGAATATGACTGTGCCAGGAAAAACAATGAAGTGGATGCTTTAGGAAGAAGATCTCTATGAACTGATGTGGTATGAATGAGGTCAGCAAAACTCAGAAAATATTTATCCTATGATAACATGATACAGAAAAACAACTCTGAAAGACCCACACTGGGTAAGTTACCCTTCACCTGTTTTACGACTTTGCTTGCTGATGGCAATGCCCCCTGCCTCCCAGAGCCCTTCAGGTTGTAATAGAATGGAGCAGCCCAGCCCCTTGGTCCCCAGAAGAGGACACTCGCCTCCCTTTTCTGGGGGCTCCCCAGACCTCTCACCTACCCCTGCTGATACAACACAGGCAAACACAAGATACAAATATGCAGGCTTTATTTATTCCTGGCCGGCTTGGAATGAAGAGGACCTGCAGGCAGGAAGAAGCCAGGAGCTTGGTCTACCAAGAATCCAGAACCTCAAGCTTGGAAGAGGCACCAGAGACAATGGGAGGAAGCTCAGTGCAGTGGCAAGAGGGTTCAACCAAAGGAACAGGGCCTGAGTTCAAGTCTGGCATTCAAGATTTACAACTAGTGTGACCCTGGGTAACTCCTGACCTCTCTGGACCCATTTCCTCACCTGTAGAATGAGGGAGATGGATAGATGGCCTCGGAGGTCTCTTCCAGGGGGAGATCTGGGGCCTAGGACTGCACACTCTACAGCTCCCCTAACGAGGGATCAGCTGGGCTCCAGGGGAAACCCACCAGGGCTGGGGAACTCACTACCTAATAGGGCCCAGCCTCCTGGATGGCTCCAATGCTGGGGAGCTGTTCCCGACACCAAGCCCAAACAGAACCCATCGGACCCTACAAATACCGGGTAACAGTTATCGTGGCCTCCCCAAGAAAAGCGCACTCCTTCAAAGCTACCCCCATGACACGAGCCCCAGGCCCTTTCCCTCCCTGGTCCCCTCCACTGGACACCTGCCTGCTGCTGGGCCTGGGCCCGCACTGGTTTGGGGACTGATCCCCTCCCTCAGGGCCTTCCCCTCCTGGCCTTCTCCCGTCCACCCCCATCCAGAGCATCCAACCAAGACATGGGAAGGAGGCTCCTCCAGCTCTTCTTCACGTCAGGCTCTCAGGCTGCCCATCCCCCATCCCTCATTCTGCCCCCCATCTGTGGGGGTCCTAAGGGTCTTTCCCGACACCCCTTAAGCTATGTGGGTCACCAGTGAACTAGGAGTCTTTCTACTACTGCCCTGGGTAACCCACAACTCTGAAGCCTCAGAACGAGGTGTGTGGCCACATATCACTGCTCCAAGAATGTACGTGTGTACGTGTGTGCATGTGTGTGAGCAGAAGGTGGGTGTTTGGAAGCAAAAAGAAGCCCAGAAGGGTTACTACCATGTTAAATTCAATGTACATTTTATAAACAAAGTACCTAACAGAAATTTACAGTTCCATGTAAATCCTTTTTCTTGTTTCTTCTTATGTATCGGAATGCCTCTGGAGGTGTAAGAGTGGTTCTGGATTCAAATTCTGAACCTGCAATTTAAAATCACTAAATCCTTAGGGAAGCTGCTTCCCTGAACAGAGCCTCAATCTCCCTTCTGTAAAATAAGAAAGCTGCACTAGTTGACTGAGGCTTTTCCAGCTCTAAATATATAGCTGTGCTGGGCCCGGGGTTGGGGGGCATTTCTGGAGGCAGGAACCCCCCACTCACCTGGTGAGCCCTGGCTGTCAGGAACACAGGGGCCATTCCAGTGTCCAGAGCTCACTCCTCTCGGGGAAGGGCAGAGAGCTGGGAAAGAAAATGAAACCATGAGTGGGGCTGGTCCTGCCTCACAGCAGCCCGAGATAGGGGCTAGAGCATACCCTCAAAAAGCCCTCTCCTCAAACCTTCTTTTTTTTGGGGGGGTGAGGCAATTGGGGTTAAGTGACTTGCCCAGAGTCAAACAGCTAGTAAGGACCATCTAGCTGCCCCCCTTGCCTCAATTCTTTAGCACTATGTATGGCATGCTGGGGATGCAAGGAGAAAAGAAAGTGCACCCTGCCCTCCAGAAGCTTACATTACCCTAGGAGAGGCAGGAAAATATGGTCTAAGAAGACTGGACTGAGAATCAAAAAAGACTTGGGTTCAATTCCATCTCCGAGCAGAAGAACGACCTCTCTGAGCCCACCTGCTTCAGAGGGCTAGTTTGGCCTTTGGGGCCATGGACATCAGCTGTTATTTAGGAGTGGGGACCCTGTGGCCTTCTAGGTCCTCAGGTGAAGCCCTTGTGACTGAGTCTAAGTTGTACAGAACAAATCCTTTCATTAAGGGGATCTGTTCTGTGAAGGCTGGATTCAGGCAAAGGGCCACACCTGAGGCTCCCCACCCCTGAAACCTACGCAAAGTGCTTTGCAAACCTTAAAGCCCCAAGTGCTGGCCATCGCTGTTATCACCATCATCATTATTGTTTCCAAGGAAAATGGAGGTTGGGCAACAATCCAAGGGCAGAAGATGGTGGAAAGGGGGGCTCTCAGTCCTAGAGCAGAGGAGAAGGAGGGAAACAAAGGGGAAGAAGAGGGGGCTGAAGAAGGGAGGGAGGAAGAGGAGGGGAGGAGGGAGGAAGAGGAGGAGAGGAGGGAGGAAGAGGAGGGAAAGGAAGGGGAAGAAGAGGGGGCTGGAGAAGGGGAATGAGGAGAGGAAGGAAGGGGAAGGAGTGAGAGAAGAAGGAAGAGGAAGGGAGGGGTAAGGGGAGGAGGACAGCAGGCAGAGGCTACGGGCAGGGGACAGGAGGTGCAGCCCTACACTGACCGGGAACCCTCCTCAGACACCCGTGGGTCCTACCCGAGGAAGGACCCAGAAAGCATGAGGAAGCGGAAGTCACGTGGAAAAATCACCAATGAGCCGCTCCGCAGGGCGGGATCTGCCGACGTTTCCACGGCAACACCACTGGGCAGTTGACGGCAGTCAAGGACTGGCGCGCCAGGCTTTCTGGGAAATGTAGTCTTGACACGGGAGGGCGGTGCGCCTGCATCCGTCTCTAGTAGATGTGCGGCCCGGGTCGCTGTCGCGCTGGGGTCCTGGCCCTGCCCGGGTGGAGGAGGAGGGGCTGGGGAAACCTTTTAGCGAGGCCGAAGCTGGGGTGGGGCGCTGCTCGGGTCTTCCTGCTGCCTTGCCTTTTGTACCCGTAGACCTGCAGAGTCAGATGGTCAAGGCTGGGCACGGGGTGGGGCAGTGGCCCCCACTGGCAGCGGGGTCAGAGGATGTGGGTTCAGGTCCTGACTCAGGCGCAGGCCCTGAGGGGCAGCCCCCTAGACTGTGCCTGGAAGCCAAGGATGTCAAGGAAAGGGGGTCATCAGGGCTCCATAAACGACGGTCTTAGGAGCCAGGCCGGGTCCCTGATGTCACCCGTTTCACCATCTCCTTTCCATCTGGCTTCCGCTGGGCCGCTTTATTTGTGAGGGTCGTGAGCCCGGGCAGAGGGGCTGCTCAGGGGAGAAGTGGCGGAGACAACCTCCCAGGGCTTGGGGACGGGCCCAGGGCTCGGAAACCAATGGCCCGGGGAAGGCAAAGGTCTTGTCCATGGCTCAGTCTGCCTGTCCTTCTGGGTGTAAAAGTGAAAAGGGAGCCCCACGACCCCGCGTGTCCTTCGATGTCCCCGAGGGAAAGTGACCTCGCTGAGCGAGGTTCTGTGGGGAACCCTTCCCAACCCCTTGGGCATCCATGGGATGCCAACTTGAGCCAACTCAGTGACCCCAAACTAGGAGAAAGGGCTCTGACCCTCTCCCCCAATAATAAAAATTAAGATAAAAATCAAGAATCAAAAAATTTGCAAAGCGGGGTCAAAGACCCCTGGCTCTGTTTTTGTTAGGGATCTGATGTCATTTTTCTGTCATCTTGACAAGTAAACCTCCACACATAAATGGATAGAGATACAGATAGCTATCTATATCTCTACATATTGAGACCAATGAAAAGTCCAAGAGACAGTTTCTGGGTAATTAATAATTTATTAGGCTACCAAATAATAAATTGAGGTCAGTGGTTTCTCTCCTCACCAAAGACCTTGCATGGGGGTCACTGAATGCTTAAATGTTTAAAAGGGGATGTCCCTGAGGGTGAGAATCAACTCTGATTGGTGAACAACCAATGACAGAGTATTATCATGAGAGGTGGGCTTTTTCTAATGAGGAACTGGAGGGACCTTGACTTTGACGATATTGACACTCCTAGCTCATTCTTTCTCGAGCAATCTATACAAAAGAATCTCATTTCTACTGGGTCCTACTGGAGTTGAACCACAGTGGGGTTACAGGTGGAATTCCTGTAGATAAGGTAAGATGGTCTGGGTGGGGCAACTTTGAGGCAAGGTCAGAAATGTCCTTGAGAGACTGCTTTGAAAAAAAAAAAGACAAAATCCGACAGAATACTTACTAGCTGTGTGACCCTAGTCAAGTCACTTAACCCCAATTCCCTAACCCTAACCCTAATTGCCTCACCAACAACGAAAAAGAAAAAAGACGACTTTGAAGGAGAAAGAAGAAATGGGGATCTTTGAGTCCCATATATAAAACTGGTTATTAATATAATTTAAAAAAATAATCTCTGCTACAAATTTTACAAGTTTATCTTTGAAATGCAAATTTTGACCTTTTCCTTTAGGCAGCTGTATTTATTTTTCTTCTGTTGTAATTAGTAACTATGTGAGCCTCTTCAGAACTTTGTCTATGGCCCTGAGGTCACGTAAAGCCCCAAGCCTTGGCTCAGAGCTGTTCCTATCACTGAATCTTTTGAGGTCTCCATCACCTTGGTTATCTTGCATAAAAAGTTTTCAGCTGGCTCTGTGGAGGCTCAGGCCTCTAAACTTGGACACTGAATTTGAAGGAAAAATGTTCTCTCCAGCTTAACAAACTTCTGAGACCAGAACGGTGGAGTCCATACTTTGATTTCTCTCCTTACTGGCAACAACAGGAGGAAAAAGAAAGTTTCTATTTTATTTTTTTTGTTTATATACATATATATAAACTAAACTAAATTTTCTGTATATATGTTATATATATGTGTGTGTGTGTGTATATATATATATATATATATATACACACACAAACATATAAAACTCTCTCTCTCTACATATATATGTAGTTTTCAACATTCATTTCCACAAGATTTTGAGTTCTAGATTTTCTCCACATCTCATCCACATGCATTCTGAATATGCCTTCCCCTAATTTGCCCTCCTTTCTATCTCCCTGCCTTCTCTTATCTCCTTCCCCTTCTATTTTCCTGCAGAGTAGGAGATTTCTATAGCCCATTGCCTGTATATCTTATTTCCCAGTGGCATGTGAAAACAATTTTTAACATTTGTTTTTAAAACTTTGGGTTCCAAATTTTCTCCTTTCCTCCCTCCCCACCCACTCTCATTGAGAAGGCAAGCAACCTGATACAGGTTATATATGTATAGTCATGCAAAACATTTCCATAGTAATCATGTTGCGGAAAACTAACTGTATTTCCCTTCATCCTAACCTGCCCTCCATTTATTCTATTCTCTCTTTTGACCCTGTCCCTCCTCAGAAGTGTTTGCTTCTGATTACCCCCTCCTCCAGTTTGCCCTCCCCTTTATCATCCCCACATTCTCTTATCCCCTGCCCCCCTATTTTCCTATAGGGTAAGATAGATTTCTATACCCAGTTAAGTGTGTATGGTGTTCCCTCCTTAAGCCAAATCCAATGAGAATAAGATTCACTTATTCCTTCTCACCTTCCCCCACTTCCCCTCCACCAGCCTTTTCTTGTCTGTTTTATGTGAGATAATTTAACCCATTCTACCTCTCCCTTTCTTCTTCTCCCAATGTAATCCTCTCTCACCCCTTAATTTTATTCTCCAGATATCACCCCTTCATCTTCACCTCACCCTGTGCCATCTGTCTATCTATTTATCTATCTATCTATCTATCTATCTATCTATCTATCTATCTATCTATCTATCTATGATTGTTGATAAAGCAAAATAAATTAATAAAAAGAAAAAAGAAAAAAAAAGAATGCTTGAAAGTCCTCTATTTCACTGAATGTCCATTTTTTCCCCTGAAGAATTATACTCAGTTTTGTTGGGTAGGTGATTCTGTGCTGTAATCCTATCTCCTTTGACCTCTGGACTATTATATTCCAAGGCTTCCAGTCCCTTAATGTAGAAGCTTAAAGTTTCTATTTTAAAGGGGCCCCTACCTTCTTAGAGATTTCTTGCCAATTCAGGGAGTTCTGAGAACTAAGGGCAGAGACAGGAATTTCCCACAATTTTTTTTTTCGAATGAGTTCCTTCCTTATCTCACTAGTTCCATTTATTGACTTTAAAATTTTTTTTGACAAGTATCAAATGTTTGTGATGGTTGCTATTTATAATAGAGTTTGAGGTCGGGGCATGATATTCTCCACTCATTCCTACCCTTTTTCAGTCAATCAGGGAACATTTATTAAGCTCCTACTATGTATCAGGAACTGTGCTAAGCTCTAAGGGTACAAAAAGAGGCAAAAGACAGTCCCTGCCCTCAAGGAGCTTATAGTCTAATCAGGGAGATGGCATGCAAACAAATGTACACTGACAAGCTCTATAGGGGAATAAATAGGAAATGATTTATAAAGGGAAAGCACTGGAGCTGAGGGGTTGGGGAAGGCCTCCTGTACAAGGTAGGACATAAAGGAAGCCAGGGAGGTTAGAACTTGGGGTGGAGGAGGGAGCATGTTCCAGGCCTGGGGGATGCCGGCCAGAGCCGAGGGATGGAGGGGCTTGTCCGTGGAGGCCCTTTTTAATTCTTTCCCTTGATATCCCATGTAATTTCTTTCCCCTAAATGAGTTTTATTATTTTGTCTGTGCCTGGCACAGGTATCCCCTCAGTGTTCTGGTTGGTGTAGCACTAAATCTGTACGTAAACTTGGGTAGCATCTTAATTTTTGTTACATTGGCACAGCCCAGCCATGAGCTCTGGATATTCCTCCAGATGTCTAAGTTGTTCTTTATCTCTTTGAGAAATGTGTTGCGTTTTGTAATTGTATTTTTTAAAGCCCAGAGTGTACTATGATAGGATGACTTTCAGATATTTTATAAATATTTTGAATGCTACTTAATTGCTAATATTTCTTCCCAGATTGTGTTATCACTATGTAGAAATACTTTACATTTTTGTGAGTTTGTTTTGTGGACTGTAACTGTTCTGGAGCCATGGTCTCTGTTATTTTCTTTGTTTTCCACATTGTTTCACAGGGAGCACCATTTGTTGGGCAGGAGAACACAGGAGGGCTCCTAACACTAACAGGTGTTCTAGCACAGGTTCACTTTTGATCCAGTCAGACAGGAAGACAGCTTTGGAGGGGCTAATAAGCTTACTTTATTCTAGCTTAGTCTTCTTAAAGGAGTTTGCCGATAATGGGAGCATCAACTCCTATAGCATTCTCTAATCACGCTTCTTGAAGGGGTGGGTGGGAATGGTGGGAGCTACAACTCCTACCTGTCAATGGGGGCTGGTTAAAGCAAACACAGATTCCCCCCAAGCCTTGATGGGGGCCTATCAAGGCAGGTACATGCATTCCTCTATGTACTACCCAAATCCCAAAATGGGCT